TAATGTACTTTTTGTTAAATTAATCCGTTAATCCTTATAATTTTATCAAAATTTTAATTAGGTCCTTATGATTTTTAAAATAATAATAAAGTCCTTACAATTGTAAAAATTTATAAAAATATCCTTATGATTTTAACAAACATGGCTCGCTATAATTGAATTTTTTAAAAGTAAAATTTGTTATCTGAAAAGAGGAACATTAATTGAAAGACACCTTTCTTCTTATATTGCATGGGCATCTTATATGACAGAGTGTGTTCACAGTCTTCTTCTCTTCATATTATATAGATGGTAGAATTTTGTTTGTTATAATAGATATTACCAAAATAAAAAAAAATAATTGTTGTCTAAACCTCTTTCATTATTTGAAATATCTTAGAAATGAAGAGGAAGAATTATTGATGTGGGTCCATATAATTTTTATCTCTCTCTAGAGTAGCCAAGAAAATCAGAGACAAAGGAAATAATTTCTTTTTCCTTTATGCTCTTTTGTAGATATTATATTCTTTATTTTTAATTAAAGACATTTTTTAGTTCGAAACATAAACGTCCTTGCAACAAAATATTATTTTTCTTTTTTAATTTCTTTCATGTTTTCTTATATTAAATAATTTAAAATATTACTTAATTTCTCATCACTTCCCCTTTTAATTTCCACAACCCCCCCCCCCCCCCCCCCTTTCTATTGAATATTTTTTCCCTGAAACTAAAGAGAGTGCAGGAGTGAGCTATGTAGTGACTGCACTGGACATAAATATAGGGGTAACTTGCTTCAATGACATTGTTTAGGGTTGTTGATTAGGCCAACCCATTGTGGGCTAATAAAATGTTAGGCCAGAGATTTTGTCTATTTAATTATGACTTGATCGACACTTATTCAATCCTTTGTGGATCTCGAGCCAATTCATTGACCTTTTTTAATTTATTTTTTTTAAATATCTTTATATTACCGAGTAAAACTTAGCTTTTATTTTTTGCATGAACAACAAAAATTAGTTTTCATTTTTCAAGTATATATAAAAATTTAATCTAGTCACAATGATGGTATAACCTGATTTTTGTTGAATCTAAAATCCAAAACTCTAGCCCAATAAATTTAGTAGACTCGATTAAATTTATATTTAAAAAAACTAAGGCCTACAGGTTCGACTAAGTTAAATTCGAGCTTAGTTTTTTCAAATTCAATTTATATTTTTTAGCAGGTTAAATGAATCAGTTTAGTAGCTTTGACTCGTTTATATATATATATATATATATCATAATTTGACCCATTTTGATAACTAGTATATAATCTACATGTTTGTATTCACATCCCTTTTTTCTTTTAAAAACAATCAACCTTTTATATTTACTTTTGATTACATTTTGAAATTACTCTTTTCCATTAAAAAAAACTACTTTTTGGCTTGAATAATTATAACTATAACAAATTTTTTTAATATATGACTAAAGGTGTACGCTAAAAAATTATATATATTATTTAAAATCACATTGTATTAATAAATTATGTTATAAATTTAAATAAAATTATTTATTTATTTTTTCATAAAATTTTAATATATATTAAAAATTATTTTTAATGAATTTGTTTAACCTTCGTAATTATCGTCAAAGAAAAACAAAGCATCGTAATTGAGATTTTAGAGTATTACCATATCCACAGTATTTTAGCAGCCTAACATTCTCATTTCCCTGCATTTTCAGTTTGATCTCCAAATCTTAAATATCTGACAAAAACTTTGTCGATATGGGGATAAAGAGTAGATTTACAATTCAACCATAGTTATATTTTAAATTAAGGTTTAAAATGTTTTGAAAATTATAATAAGTGCATATTAATAATATATTTAATAAATAAATTTTATTTTAACTAATATCTCAAAGGAATTAATTAGTATTTTTAAATTATGTATATTTTAAAGGAACAAACATGAGTTTAGTTATGATAAACATGAAAAATGTTAACAATATATTATTTTGAACACACTATTAAACATTTTTTATTATTCTATTTTTTAATAAGTGAAAGTAATTGCTTTGTAAAATGATCATTTAAAAAATAAATCAATCACATAAAGTGTGTTAAAAAAATTGTCTTGCTAGCATATATGTAAAGATTAATAAATAAACAAAAAATGTTAATACATGTACTTAAATATGCTTTTTAAAAAAATGATAAATAAAATAGGAGAATGTGGAAGAGGGTGAAGGCAATAATATTGATTGAAATATGGGTGTCATAATGAGTATGAAAGGTTGATTAATGCTGCATGTGGTAATACGCCGCCGGAGCCTCCTCCAGTGCCGATCCGTTGGCCGTGGCCGTCGTTCTCGCTTCTCTGTTTCTGATTGGGAAAAGTGACCATTTAATTATCATATTCGCTGTGGATTTTATACCCTTCAATTCAGCCTAGTCCACCTTCTCAAGATATATCTATCTATCCTGATTTGATATTGTTTACAGTTTCCATTTTGATCATATTATTCGTATTTTTTACTGAACTAAAAATATTGCCATTTAACAATGCATTAGCATGTAATTTGGATTTCTATCTCAAAATCACAAACACAAACACAGACACACAGTTATGAGAGATTTTTACTCTAACTTTTAATCATATTTTGATAAAATAGTTGTTTACATATTAACTTGGACGATATTTATTACAAACGAAAACGTATCAGAAGAATTAAAATGAACAAGAATAACTTCGTCTTCAAGGTTGAGACCAATGTCATGTGAGTTGCTGGTTGATAATTGACGTCATGCATCCCATGTTCTAAAATAATTTTATAAAATTATAATTATTTATAATTAGTGGTCTGGTCACTATTTAGACTACTTTTATGGATTAGAAAACCTATGTTAAGCAAGCTGAAAATTTGACAAATAAGTTTTATAACCATATTTTTTTTTTCTTGTTCCTTGGAACTTCTAATTGTTTTTTAATATTCATTGCACCATTTATACTTTTTATTGAGTGCTATTAAATCCATTTCATATGACAGCTTATTATTGACTAAATTTAAACGAATGACATATTCTAGTTCCTTGAATATATATATACAAGGAGCTAGAAGTTATAATAATCAATACAAAATGATAGAGAACTTGGACAGTGGCACCAAAATGTATTTGAGTAGAATTTTGGGATGATCTTTTGGCCCATAGTGAAGTTGGAGATGGGAACAGAGTGGACTGGTTCAATCTCTGAACAACAACCTTTCGTTTGAAAATGGAGTTCTGATAATCCAATTACATTGGACTTTATAACAGTGGAATTTCTTTATTGTTGGGCTTCATTGGTTTTTGTTTATTCTTGCGTAAAATGGTCCCGTAGTTGGATTCGAATGAAATGTTTCATACGCAACAGTCCTTAAAATCGAGCAAAATATCTGAAAAAAGAAAAACCCACAAAGGATTATTCCTTTGTTTCTAAAAGTAGGAAATTGAAAAAATGGTAGGAATTATTGCAAAACTTATATCAGTCAAATTGATTTTGCAAATTTTTAAGATCTGAAATTTAGAATGAAACCCAAAAACATTCCTTCCCATAATTAATACTAGCTAGTATAAGCTACGCTAGAGCAATGTCTTCAACTGAATCTTTTCACATAACCACCCAATTGTGTCTGGTAGAACTCAACATCATTTTTTTAATTGTGAAATTGCCCATTAGCAGCAAGTGATTCTCATAATCGTTGACACTAATCTATGCATTGAATAAATCAATTCATTTGCGCAATTACAATCCGAGAGTTAAGTCACAAGGCAATTTGTGCAATTACACTTCAAGCATAGCTGCATCTTCTAGAGCACATACATAATCATTTATGCTGAAGTCATTACTCATTCTTTGAAAAGAAGAATCAAGCTTGTCACTAACTTGGAACTTGTATAGTTTTTTCAGGAATTGGAGACATACAATCTGCGGCAACCATTTAATAAATGGACCGAATATGTAGTCATTTTCTATTCAAAGAGTTGGAAGAAGTTGCTCTCACTCTTCTGAGACCTACCCAAGTTTGATAGAGAACTTGAAACAGATTTACATTAGAATAGATTGGTTAGACCTAAGGGGTTGGTAATGAAACTGACCCAATTCTTACATATATATTAAGATGGTCTGTTCAGTAGCCCAAAGCACTCACGGGTCAAGTTGGCGATTAGACTACATATAAAAACTAAACATGTTGGAGAAGTTTGTCCTTTTATAGATTTAATCAAAGTAGTTAAGCTCAGGCATAACTTAAAATATGGGTGATGTATATATTTGAAAGAACATCATATCAGCTAGAGAAGTTCAAGCAACTGAAATTTATATGAGCAATCAATTGAGTTTACCAGCAAAGCATCATTTATTGTTAGTTGTAAAGTTGTGAGAGATCATGACATGTTGCCAAATCCTATAGAAAGAGCCTCAAAACCATAATAAGATTTATACATAAGCATTGTCCTTACCTTTCAAGGCATGAATGGGTCTAACCAATTAGAATCATCATTTCTTTCACCCTCTACTTTTTCTTTTGGTTTGGTAGATATCTACCAATATAAGTAGTTTACTTAATAAAAGAAACTGATGTGTCTTTCTTTTGTATAAATTGCCCATTCTCTAGATTAGGGGTCAAATCTTCTTCTTTTTTCTCGGCTCTGATGACATTCAATATCAAATTCATTTAATCACTGCAAAAAAAATTTATATGAAATAGAAAACTTCCACATTGCCATTTTAACATCCTTATTTGTTGAAGGAAGAAATTATCCTTTATGAGCAATTAGCACTCAGAATATGCTGGCACAGTGAAAACAGTTGGCGTCAATGCCTGTTTTTGGTCCATTTTTTCACAGCATAGAATGTAGGCACTTTGGCAAGAATCTAATACTGCAGTGTTGGCAATCATCACGATACTCTCCAACTTTCAAAACACTTCATATTCAAGTTTTACGTAAAAATAAGAGATGTTAAGAGAGGATGCGCCAAGAACGAGACAAGTGATTGAAACACAGCAAACGCAACATTATAAATTTAAAAGTTTCTTACTCAACTCAGAATTTTTGCTACAAATGAACTGCAAAAAGAATTCCCACGGATAGGGATATATATAAAAAGGGAAAAAATGAAAAGAATTCCAAGGGAAAAAAAAAAGACAACGGGGACACCAACTCCTAATGACCTTAAGGGACCTACAATTACTAGACCTAAGACCCTACCCTTTTGACTTGCATATCTCTACCCCTTTTTCTTCACTTATCATTACAATCTTCCCCTAACAGCTAATTAAAATATGATCATCATCTATTGCTCCTATTCCCCCAGTCCAACCCTGTACAAAAACCAATGAACGAAAGAAATGAAATATCAATAAGAAATAACACAAGACATGACTCTAGAGGGAGGTAACGAAAGAGAAATCTCCAACTAGGATCACTCCCTTCCTCACATGTACTCCAGGGTGAGGCTGCTGTTAGTATTTGGAATGAGTTCGGGTGAGGCAGCTGAATGGGTTGCAAAACCAGATTTGTCAATACCCCTGCATCTCATTTCAAGGACCTTCTTATGGGAATTGGAGTGCAAGGATGCGCAAAAGGTTGGACTTGCAGCAGGCCTGTATTCAGGGAAGAGCCGGCCTGACTTGTAGCGAACACCGCATGCATTGCATAGTGTTTTTGGCCCCATTGGCCCTGCCCTCCACTGTGGTGTCTTGGTTATCTCACAGTGCATACATTTCCTAACCGGTTGTGAATTAGCATTCTGATTGATGATATCAGCTGGACCTACTGGAAGTGGTAGCTTCACTTTCTTTTTCTTCTTAGGCTCCCCAGAAGCTTGCTTTGCTACCTTGGTTACAGGTTGGGACTCAGCAAAATTCTCAGAATCTGAAGAGGCCTTGGTGGAGATCACATTAGGCTGCATGTTCTCCCCAACAAAAGAGGAGGCAGGGGAAATGAGCTGCATGGCAGGGCGAGGGTTGAAGGTTGCAGGGCGTGGACGCTTGCTGCGTGCACGCCCACATGGCACCGGGATGTAAATCTCCGGGCTGCGCGGCGCTGTCTTCCCGCCGGAGCAGGAACTGCTGCTTTCAAGGACAGAAACTGGGCTTGATGTGTGGAATTGGTTGTGCACTGATGATGAGTCCTCCTTGGTGGTGCATGATGATGGCTCCTCCACTTTCTTCATTGTAAGGCTCCCCCCACAGAAGGAATCCTCCACAAAGTTGGAAAGCCATTCCAATTGGACAATGTCTTCATACTGAAATAACAACAACAAATTCATCATTATCCAAACCACATTTTCAATTTTCCTTGTCAAATCCAAATGCCATTAACAATTTCTTTTTACTGCTATTCAAGCAAAACATGTAACCTAGTATGGCATAGAACACGTCATAGCATTCCACAAACGAAGGTACACATGCTGTGCTAGCTCTTCAGATTGAATGAAGAATACGAATTTGTGCTTGCTCACGTATCAAGAAGTTAATCATCAAACATCGGCTACCAGTGTTAGCTAGAGTTGCCAACTTTTCAATGCTCATTACCTATGTGGGGGGTCACATCACGTGATCATCACATGCAAAATCACATGACAACCAATAATGATGGTGCAAATAATGGAGAGCAGGGGTATATGGTGTGCCACATGTCACCGACACAATCAAGTGTCCTCCAAATTACTAAAATGCCCTTCTCTAGAAACATTTAATTTTTTTTGTCAATTAATGATGTCTCCAAATTCAAATTTAAATTCAAAATATTTCAACTTGGACTACCCTTTAAGGAAAAAAACAAATCCATTGTCTAGATATTTTGGAATTTCTCATTTTGCAATGCATCCAAAAATCCCAATTGTTTAATTTTTAAAAAAAGATGTGAACTCTCAAAGCCACTATTTATGAAGTGAAGACAATCACTCAACAATGTTCCCCACAAGTAGAACCAAAATTTCATGCTATCTATACGCGAGGTGACAGGCTGGCAATAGGGAACTTTCAATACAGACAATCAGGTCCGTACATGGAACCACCTGTCATGATCAAGCAATCTAACGGCCACAAAGCACGCTACTGAAACCATGGGCGTGATAAACTTACAGAGCAATTCACGGAATTCATGTGAACGCGCCAAAAAATTTAAATAAAAAACAAAAATGCATAAAACTGCAAGTTTAGGAAACTCACCGGAACAGAGAGCTCCGCCGAAAGGTCCGAAGCGCTGTTGCCGGAAAACACCGAGTCGGAGCCGGGGAAAGAGTCGGACTCGGCAGGCCAGATGCTCGCCAGCGAGTTGCAGTTCCCGGCGGCTGCGACGGATGGCAAGGTGGTGGCGGCGGCTGCTCCGTCGACGTCCTCGACGGGGAAGTCGAGGAGGTCGTCGATGTGGTCAAAGAAGCTGCCGCAGTCTATCTCGTCCATGAAGTTTGGTCCAACCATTTTCTCGGCGAGTGAAATTTTCCTGAGAAAATAAAACAGTAAAATGAAAATTAGAAGATTAAAAAAATGAAAAAAAAATCATAGCAGCTTTTGTTGAATGTAGGCATGTGGCTCATGTTAGCCATTAGGGCGTAAATTAATTTTGCAAATTTGGGAATATAATATTTTTCTGTGAAAATCATTAGAAAGGGAAGGAGAAATAAAGTTCAAAAAGGTAACGCGGGTTTTTATTTTTAATTATTTGCTTTCTTTTTATGAAATGAAAATCCGAAATTGAAGATTTTTAGCCTGTGAACGCAATGAGTGCAGCGAGAGAGCTGGTCCCAGTCACCATTTTATCCTTATTTCCTTTTTTCACTTTCTCCTTTTTCTTTGAATTTTAAGAAATGGAACTCCATTTTTTGCACACGGAAACAATTCAACGGAATGGAAACATTCTGAAAATTGTGGTAAAGTTGAAGAAGGTCAGCTAACCTTGTTCAATTTGAGTAACTTCTTGAGCTGAGATAGTGAGTAACTTCACAATTCAAACCCTGCAATATGTTGAAAAGAAAAAGGAAATAAGCAAGTGGGAAATTAAACGCACAATCAAACACAAAATAACATTGTTTAATTCTTTCTTTTTGGCTAAACTTGGGTTTAGAAAAAGGATGACAACAAAGCATGGTATGATAAGACCCCCAATTGCTCATTCTCATTCAAATTGAATTTCCTTTTAAAATTGAAATTGAGCTAGGCGACACTAGTGTTTCTCATTCTGGGCAAGGTTGAAAATTCGAAGTTGTGAAGGAAATGAGAAAATGCCGGAGAGAGGCAAACCTGAAGCTAAAAATCCTTTCTTTGAGATGAGAATGAAAGGAAAAGGTGAAATCTTTGCCAATAAATGAAGAACAAAAAGAAAGAGATAAACGGTGTGAGAATGTGATGGGGAGGTTTGAGTAGAGAGGGAGGGGTTTTTGAAAGGAGAGAGAGGAGAGTGAAGAAGGCTTAAATGGTAAGGGGGGGTTATGAAGGGAGAAGAAGAAAGAAAGAGAATGTGATGGGCACTGGTAGGTGAGGCTCCTCCTTCATTGCTAGCTGTCTTTTACTACCCCCTCACTGTCGTGATGTTGAAGTCTTCTCTCATCCTTTTTCCCAAACTTTCTCTCTCCTCAAATTACCCACAGGTCCCACACCTCTCTCTCACCCAACACACCCTTTCCTCCATTCACGGACTTTCACCCCGCAATAACAATCTTCATTTCCATTCAACCATCCACCACTTTCCCATACCACCCCCCAATTAAAAAATTAAAAGAAAATGTCATAAAAGTAACACCGAACAGAAATGGGTTTTGAATGACCAAATGGGGCTTAGAATTTGAGGGAAAATAAAATACCCTTTACCTTTTTCCTTAGCTTATGTCAAGTGCAATTTGCAAACACTGATTTGAGGGAGAGAAAAAGGGTGAAAAGAGTGAGAAGCTAAGGATGCCACAGGCTTTGCATAAATAGAAGAAGCTGTGCACTTGGATTTGTCAGGCTTTAACCGCCGCTGTTTCAGACATTGTTTGTGTTTGTTTTCTTAATAAAACAAAAATTTTACTGCCTAGGTTTGCAGTAAAGTAGTACCATAAAATGCTCAAAAGTCAGAGTTTATGAGCTTCCTCGAAGCGCGTAACGTACACGGAAAGTGTTTATTACAAGTTACAGGTTTTGGTTCGGGTTCAGAAAACGATGATTCTTCTGTATTATACGCTGCCTTGGGTAATAAAATTTTGGATAGGGTTATTTATTTTATAGAAAACATTTAATATATTAATTAAGAACTTTTAATAAATTCTTTATTTTATTTTACATTGTTTATTGTCGTGAAAATAAAATAAATGTCATGACGTAATTGCCCTTGTTTATCCGAAAAATTACGAATATTACCAAGTTTGGATTTTACCGAACCGCTGCCATGTCATGTTTGACAAATAATAAGTTCTTTTTATTTTGACCATTTTAATTGATGTCTTTTTTATGGAAAATTCTTTTTCTTTTTTCTTTTATTGTTAAGAAAAATCAAGAAAGAGACAATCCTGAAATTAGTCACAAGACAAATTTGAATACTATATGGCGCTTCAAAAATCCTAGCTTTGAATATAAATAAAAAATTCCATGTTTTCTTATCAAAACCAACAAAACGGAGTTCTAGAAACTTTTTTTGTTTTTGTTTTTTTTTTAATTTGAACAAACTCCTTTTTTCTGTTAGCCTTACCTGGTTTTCTATTTTTTTTTTCATAAATAAAAGTATTTTTTTAATAAGCAAAATCATTTTCATTCCTTTTTTCTACATCTATTGTAGATCATTTATTAACATTATCAAATTCGATAAACGCGCAAAATGTTAGACGTTTTTGTTTGATTAAGATTTGGGAATCGTTATTTTGAAAATTATTTCATTTAATTACACTTTCTAAATTGAGAATTTGATTTGCACTTATGCTCCGGAGAATACCATCAAACAGACCAAAAGAAAAAGGCTAATGTTGATAAATTTTGACTTAATTAGTAAATATTTTATGTTTTTAAATAGGCTACTAAGGGTTTAATTTAAGCTATACGTTTAAAAAAACAAAAATGTTGTAGAACTGTTATACTTCGCTATTTTTTTCAATTTTCAAAAGAGATTCGTGTCTAAATAGAAAATTCAACCAATCTTCTTAAATTTAAATTTTGAATCCATCATAAAATTACATACAATTCGATTGTTAACGTCTTTATATAAGATCCTGAAAATATGGATAAAAATATTTTCAAAGTTTTTATACAATTTATTTAAAATAAAAAAGTAATTTTTTGTAATTAATAATAAAACAAAATATGAGAATAATAAAAAACAAACAAACAATTCCTAAGCTCCTTGTAAATTGAACTAAAAGGGATTGTGAATAAGGGGAAAAATTTCCATATTTTCACATAATTTGATGTATTAAAACATTGTAAAAGTCATTAAAAAACTGAAGTATTATAATATATTTTAGTATAACAAAATTTAAACTATGAATTGTAACTTAGTTGACAAATCAAACTCTGAAAAATTTTATTCACAATCTGAAGAGTAGTGCCACGTCTAAAGATATAAAAGGTACATATTTCTAGGTTTGGTCAATTGAGTATTTTTTAATGTAAATGTGATACTCACAGAAATTCAATTTTGACATTGGAGATTTATAAAACAGTAAATTAGAATTATAGAATAAACCTTTACAATCCCAAAGGCATTTCGTACAGAAATGCACTTCTTATTCATTAAAATAGTGCCAATATTTGTTGATACCTTAATTCATTGTCAAACGATAAAAATAAGTTCGAACAATGCCTTACATGTGGTTAATTAGTTTATCAAACACTTTTTTGTCAGATACTAAACCGTGGTTAATTTTTATATTAAGAGCTGTTATACCCAATAAATAAATAAAATTACAGCTTTGAATTCCAGTAAATACTGCAATTCTTGGCAAGTTACAATTTTATCCGCTTTTTTTTTTTCCTCAATATTTAATTTATTTCTGAAATTAGGCATCTCTAAATATCAATAAAGTAATATGTAAGGACAATGGTTCAACCTTTTTTTAATTAATTTATAGGAATATCCCAGTATTAACTTTTTTTAAGTCCATATATCATTTACTATCAGACAATGAGAATTCTGGATAACAAATATTCGGTAAATATTTCACATTTAATTTTTTTTAATGTACTGTAGTTCTATTATTCAAAATTTCTTTTGTATTTGTAATTAATATTTTGTATGATAAAGTTAAAAAAAACATAATTAACATATTTGTTTTTAAAAATAGTTACAAAGAATTTAAAATTACGGCAAACTATAATTATCACATAATTTTTTATATTCTAGAAGCTTCTTTAGATAAAATGATGCAAAAAATTAAAAATTAATAAAACAGATGCATAAGGATTAACATTTAATTAACTTTTGTTGCCACTAACTTTTTTTAAAACAAAATCTAAAAATTTAATATAAAACTGTAATTTATTTTATAACTTTCAAATTAATTTGAACTTTGACTATTATTTATTTTCTCAATATTTAATTATAATATAATTTATTTAATTAACACACTTATCAAAGTCAATGATTACAGCACTACCTTGTTATTTAAAACTTTAAAAATATTTACTTATTATTGTAATAGTTGAAGATTTTTATTATGATAAATTAATACATTTTGTCAAATTAATTGACTATGAAAATGTATAATATAATTATTATAATGTCATTATAACAACATAATATTAAAAATTAAAACATCTAAAGTATTTACTGTTAATGTAATTAATAACAAGTTTGCTATTATATAATAAAAAGGATTTATTAAATTGATAATAAAAAGTTGTTTTTTTAGTGTATAACACTATAACTTTGTTATAATTATTATATTATATATTACGATAAAATATAATATATCTTTACAATTTTATCTGCAACGAATTAAATATATTTATTTCCAATTATGGTGATTGTTAAAACACTAACATATTTTTCTTCCTTTTCGGGAAGGAGACAATTTTCTTTTATGGAAAAAGTAATATATTTTAAAATGTTTTAATTTGTGGAAAAAATATGTTTATTATAAAAAATGAATTAAGTTAATAATATAGCATAATTAATTTTGTCATAGAAAAACTAAAATGCAAAGCGAACATAACTTTTCTCCCTTCTTATATAACGTGTATTCCATGACAGGTTTGAGAAGCAAACATTAAATAATTTATTAATCAAGGCTGTTCTTTGATAAAATTTATATTTTTTTTTACCAATTTAATTTGTGTATTAAATTTTAAATAAACCAAATCTTCAATCTACACACAGCGCAGGAAAAATCAGTAAATTATAGTAATAAATAACGCCATTACTATAAAAAAATTAATTACTATATCAAATATTAATAAAATATATTACATTATTAATATAGATTCATAATATCTACATTAATTATTTTTTATCATGTAAAAATTATATTGATTGAATTAATTTTAACATTCATATTTTTGTTCTAAGTTGATTACTGGTATCCAGAGTTTGTAAAGTCAGAAGCTAGAGAAAAATAATTAAAAAAAGGGTGAAAATGAATACAAAATTAGATTTCAGTATATTGAATGATTTGGTCACATGCAACCAAACAAAAGACTGAATCGTGCCAGACATAAAAGGTAACAACCCAATTAACCCACTTGATAAGAAAATTATTTTCATGTCCAATCAGAGCTTATGCTTATTTGGCATGACAACCAACAAGCTCAGGCACAATTTATATACTATTAAATACCACTCCTATATTCGACGTTGGTGTAAAAAAAGTTTCATTCCTTTTTTGTTTGACTATCACATTTCTTTACCATTTTGTGGAACTTGTTACACGAACTGCACTGTAATAACAGTGCCAATTTATATGTATCGTAAGAACTAAGAAGGCATGTTGATCATACAAGACCTTTCAATTTATTAAAAAATATATGATTGACACAAATTTTGGTTAACAAAGTTGATTATAGTAAAGCAAGAGATGGGTAGGTTTAAAATGAACAGGTGGCCACTGAAAGAATTTTGATTTAAAAATGAAAAAGAAAAAGGTTGACAAAAGTGACTGCACAACTGAAGTGTGTTTGGCTTTGGGCCAATAGAAATGATGGGCTCACTTACTCTCACAAATCACAATCTATGATCTCTTATTTTTCTTCCTTAACTACCTTCAGTTACACTCTTTGAATCAATCCCTTCAAAAATACTCTCTCTCTGAAAAAATCTGTTAAAAAGGGAACAAAGGGAGACAGTGTGTGTGGTAGTGCAGTGGTGCTACTTCCATTCATTCTTTACTTCTTTAACTAACTTGGGTTGCACTCTTTGAATCCCTTTCTTCCAAAAGACTTATTCTTCAAATTAAATGGAAAAAAAATAATAATAATATAATACTATTAATAATTGGTTCAAAAACCAATAACATTTTCAA